CAAATCTGGTTATGGAGTGTAAATTCCATCTTCTCCTTGGTGATTGCAGTGAGGCTTCATCTTGAGTGATTCCACAGGCTTACTCTTGAAATGCGCTGCTCCCATCGTTGATTTTCCTTTGTGCTACTCTTGAACTGGGTAGCAGGCTTCCTTTGGTCTCCCCCGAAGGTCTGAGCTTCCTTCTTTTATCTGTTTCTTTGTTCAATCTCTGCAATTCGTATTGAAGAGGGTTAGAGGATAGCTCAGCAAAGCTAGGTAAGCAACCAGGGAATAGAGTCCAGATAGACTCCAAGTGCCGGCTGATTGCTTCTTTCACTTTGCCATGCAAGTAATATCAAGGACAAAGGAAAAGACAGGGAAAGAGCATGATATGAGATACCTTTGCTTTTGCCCTTGATGATATGAGATACCTTTGCTTTTGAAGAAGCGGTGAATGAATCAGCACATGTATTTGTGGTGCTGTTTCCTCCTGGGTCATCTGTACTCCAGGCATCTGGTATCATCTTTGGGGAAGAAGAAAGAATGGAGTATTTCGAAAGGCTTTGCTGGGAGTGCGCCTTCAGAGGTGAGAAAGAGTTGGGCATTTTCTTCAGTTCTGTCTTGCCAAAAAAAAATGAAGGTCGACATATATAGGGAATTCAATAGCAAGTGGTGATACTGTTCTTTTACCGTTGTCGACAAACATTTTGATCCCGCAAATCCGGCTTTTTGGAATAGTGACGACTCTTCGATCTTTGAAGACGCCTCTTCGATAAAGCTGCACGCGTTTTCTGAAAAGCAGATAAAGCGTCGCCGAACTTTGCGCTTGTCGGCTAAAGACGTGTAGTTGCGATGATGGCCTCCACGTGTTGAACGCGATTTCTGAAAAACTGAGGCTTTTTGAATTGGTGGACGCGTTGCCTTGGCTTTTTATAGAGCTATCGATCACCGCCAACTTACACACTCTGAAGATTTTCCATTCTTGAAACTCGTCTCCGGCCCTTTTGAAAATCTACTCCGTCCACCCCTTCTCTTTTAACTTCGTGAACAATGGCTAACTCATCCAACCCATCGAACCTTTGCTTAGATTTGAGTCTAAGCAGTGATCCGGTCGCGTCTCGTCAGGGTAAGGTATGGTGCCCGTCTTTCTTATCTTCCCATGGCCCTCTTACAGATGAAGACTCTGTGATGACGGATCCCACAACGGCTACGATAGTGGCTCGGAACCTCCTCACTCCCAAAGACAGTCAGCTGCTTTTAGGACGGTCCAATGAGTTGGCCGTTCAAGAATCCCTGGCTCTGAGTGTTCAGTGCACTGGCTCTGTGTCCAACATGGGCCAACGCCTTCTTGCTCGCTCCTGACAGGTTGAATCCTTGATGGCGGAGGTGGAGAGTCTTAAGCAGGAGATCAAACAGCTTAAGTACGAGAACCGAAGTTTGCACGTACTTGCCAACAATTATTCAACAGGCATGAAGAGGAAGCTTGATGAGCTTGATGACCGTCAACGGTTTGCAGCTTTCTTCCAGAGGCACCTCTTTCCTGGGTCATCCAGCGTTCCACCAAGGTTTGGGGCCTTGAATGATCTATCTTCGGTGCCTCCCGCTCCGATGCCTTCCGCTCCGATGCCTCTTGCTCCGATGCCTCCTGTTCCGAGAGTGTTGCCACGTAGTGGGGCCTCAAGTACACAACCTTTGTGAAGACTTCATCTTTCTGCCATGTTTTTTTTTTTTTTTTTTTTTTTTTGTAATCACCCGGAAATCAATAAACAAGCTTTATTCACTGTATTGGGTTGCCTCCCAAGTAGTGCTTTCTTTTACGTCTTGCAGCCGGACGAAGAATCCATTTACTCCAAATTGGAGCCCACGGTACCCAAGGGGGTGTCATCCACGGTGTGCTCCACAAAGTTCTCATAATAGGCCTTCAAACGATGCCCGTTCACCTTAAATTCATGTCCCGTTTTCAAGCTCTGGATTTGGACTGCACCATGAACAAAAACATTAGTAATAACAAACGGTCCAATCCACTTAGAACGTAACTTACCGGGAAACAAACGTAAACGGGAATTGAACAATAGCACTTTCTGCCCAATGGAGAAGGATTTCCCACGGATCATGTTATCATGGAAAGCTTTGGTCTTTTGCTTGTAAATGCTTACATTCTAGTACGCATCGTGCCGTATTTCATCAAGCTCATTCAATTGGAATTTCCTATGGCTTCCTGCTTCATCTAAGTGCATGTTGAACTTCTTGACGGCCCAAAGAGCTTTATGCTCCAACTCCACGGGAAGATGGCACGCCTTGCCATAGACAAGTCGAAAAGGGGACATCCCAATGGGGGTTTTGTATGCCGTACGATACGCCCAAAGTGCATCATCTAACCGTAAACTCCAATCCTTTCTTGTTGGCCCAACGGTCTTTTCTAGGATTTGCTTGATCTCTCGGTTGGAAACCTCGGCTTGGCCATTTGTTTGAGGATGGTAAGGTGTAGAAACCTTATGGTTGACACTGTATTTCCTCAATAATGCTTCAATGGTCCGGTTGGAAAAATGAGACCCTCCATCACTTATGATTACTCTCGGCATTCCAAACCTAGCAAAAATGTTAGTTTTCACGAAATCTGCAACCACCTTAGAATCGTTAGTACGGGTGGCTTTTGCTTCCACCCATTTAGAAACATAATCAACGGCTAGCAAGATATAAGTGAAACCATAAGATGATGGAAAGGGACCCATAAAGTCAATACCCCAAACATAAAAAATTTCAACATTTAGGATAGAAACCTGCGGCATTTGGTCTCTTGCAGTAATACCACCCATTCTTTGGCATTTATCACATGTTAGGCAAAACGTTTTAGCATCCTTAAAAATACTAGGCCAATAAAATCCACATTGTAACACTTTGAGGGCCGTGCGTTGTGTGCCAAAGTGCCCTCCACATGCATATGTATGACAAAAACTCAAAATTGAATGACATTCAGAATCATGCACACAACGACGTATAATCTGATCGAGACAAAATTTCCATAAGTACGGATCATCCCATACATAAAACCGTGCATCATGCCTAAGTTTGTCACGTTGGTGCCTATTGAGCTCATTTGGAAATTGTTTAGCCACCAAGTAATTCACTAAATCTGCATACCATGGTTCACTTACCTCAATGGATAGCAGCTGCTCATCGGGAAAAGTTTCAGGGATAGGTACGGCATGTTCATGCTCCTCGTGGATCATTCGGCTTAAATGATCAGCCACTACATTCTCGCTTCCTTTCTTATCCCTGATTTCAATATCAAATTCTTGAAGAAGAAGAATCCAACGGATAAGCCTCGGTTTTGCTTCCTTTTTCGTGAGCAAGTACCTCAAAGCTGCATGATCAGAATAAACGATTACTTTAGTACCAATTAAATATGAACGGAATTTATCTAAAGCAAAAACCACAGCTAGAAGTTCTTTTTCAGTCGTGGAGTAGATCAATTGGGCATCATTGAGAGTCCGAGAGGCATAGTATATGACATGCGGTCGCTTGTCTCTTCTTTGTCCTAGAATAGCTCCTAATGCATAGTCGGATGCATCGCACATGAGCTCGAACGGAAGGCTCCAATCTGGAGGTACAATAATGGGGGCCGAGACTAGCTTCTCCTTGAGTTGGTTAAATGCCAAATTACACTCTTCATCAAACTTGAATGGCACATCTTTTTGAAGCAATCGGCAAAGAGGGTTGGACATCTTGGAGAAGTCCTTGATAAAACGCCTATAGAACCCTGCATGGCCAAGAAACGAACGTACCTCTCTAACCGAAGTTGGAGAGGGTAAGTGGCGAACAAGGTCTACCTTAGATTTATCTACTTCAATGCCTTTTTCGGAAATGATATGGCCTAGAACAATACCTTGCTTAACCATGAAGTGGCATTTTTCCCAATTAAGTACAAGATTCGTTTCAACACAACGTTTCAAGATTAAAGTCAGATTATTCAAGCAATGATCAAATGAATTTCCAAACACGCTAAAATCATCCATGAATATCTCAATAATCTTCTCCACATAATCAGAGAATATACTCACCATGCATCGTTGAAACATCGCCGGAGCATTGCACAAGCCAAATGGCATGCGTCTATATGCAAAAGTGCCAAAGGGGCACGTAAATGTTGTCTTCTCTTGGTCCTCCGGAGCGATCACAATCTGGTTATATCCGGAATATCCATCAAGAAAGCAATAAAATTCATAACCAGCTAACCTTTCCAACATTTGGTCGAGGAATGGTAATGGAAAGTGATCCTTCCTTGTCATGGCATTTAACTTCCTGTAATCAATGCAAACACGCCAACCAGTCACAACACGAGTGGGGACAAGCTCTTGTTCTTCATTCTTCACCACTGTGACGCCAGACTTCTTTGGAACAACCTGCACAGGTGACACCCAACGACTATCAGAAATAGGATATATAACACCACAATCAAGTAATTTTATAACCTCATTTTTCACTACTTCCAACATAGGTGGATTAAGGCGACGTTGAGCTTCACGAGATAGCTTGGCTTCCTCCTCCAAAAGGATGCGATGCATGCACGTGGTGGGACTAATGCCTTTGATATCCGCCAAAGTCCATCCAATGGCAGATTTGTGCTCTTTTAACACCCTTATCAACTTGTCTTCTTCTTGAGCCGTGAGTAAGTTTGAAATGATGACGGGTAGCGTTTGATCTTGGCCCAAGAACACATACTTCAAGTGACTAGGTAATGGCTTTAACTCAAGTGTAGGTGGCTGCTCAGTTGATGGAAGTAACTTGTTAGTCAAAACCGAATCTAAAAGTGAGATTGGAGACTTACCAGAGTGGAAGGGCAATGACTCGAGGGCAGCGACCATTTCAAGTACTTCATCACAAGGGGGTACGGCAATATGGTCAGATTGCATGCCGTGGGTTGCCAAGACTCCCTCACACTTATTTCTTGTTCCTATGCCGTGGACTAAGGCTACCTCAAGTGCATCTTCGTTCATTTGATCCAAATGCACCTGTGCCAAATAATCAACAATATCAATAGCAAAACAAGAATGGTCCTCAATTGGATGTTTAATGGTTTCAGAAAGATTAAAATGAATAATGTCCCCATCAAACTCCATGGTCAATGTTCCCGTATACACATCAATCTTTGTTCTTGCTGTTTTCATGAAGGGACGGCCTAGCAAGATTGGCAATGATGGAGCATGGCTTGAATCCTCCATGTCTAAAACATAGAAATCTGCGGGGAAAATAAGGTGATTGACCTGCACTAAAACATCCTCAAGGACTCCCTTGGGATAAGCGTTAGAACGATCGGCCAATTGAATTATAACGCCATCTTGTTTTAACTCACCAAGGTTCATTGATGCATAAATGGAATAAGGCATGACATTTATGGATGCACCTAAATCAAGCATGGCATGTTCAAAACGATTATGTCCAATCACACAAGGAATCGTGAAACTACCGGGGTCTTTGCACTTGGTAGGTAGTTTATGTTGCAAAACAGCGGACACATTCTCGCTTACCTTTACTACCTCTTTGTTTGCCCTTCTTCTCTTTGTATTGCATAGGTCCTTGAGGAATTTAGCATATTTTGGAACTTGTTTGATTGCATCGAGAAGCGGTATGTTCACTTGCACCTTCCGGAACGTTTCAAAAATGTCCTTCTCGCTTTCTTCCTTTTTTTCTTGCATGAACCTGCGAGGAAAAGGTACATTGGGCATATTAGGACGTGAAGTACATGAATTTGAACTTAAATTACCTGATTTGGCCGAGTTAGGGTGATTGGGGGCCTGCGGCATTGGGTTTTTCACTCTTTCCGTGGGTGAGCTAGACACTTCCTCAGGTTGTGTCGTCTCTTCATCTACTTCCTGGGCAGATTTGGGATTGTTTGGCTCGGTCCCAACTTCTTTTCCACCCCTTAGGGTGATGGCCTTGGCGGATTCGAATCCTCCCTTTGGATTGACTGTGGTTGAGCTAGGAAGCTTTCCTTGCTCTCTAATCTGTCCAAGGAACTCAGAAATCTGCCCTATTTGTTTCTTCATATCCATCATCTCCTTCTCGTTATTTTCTATCCGGTTGTTTTGATTTTGCAACCCCTGCGAAATAGAGGTTAGTAATTGCATAGCTTGATTACTTTCCAAGGACGTACCTGAATGAGATGATGCCGAAGGTTGTTGGGATTGTTGGGGTGCATACGGCTTGGAATAAAAACCAGGGGGGTTTGGCCTAAATCCTCCTTGTTGGGCAGCTTGTTGTGGCTCCCTCCATTTGAAGTTTGGATGGTCCCTCCATCCGGCATTGTAAGTGTTCGAGTATGAGTTGTTTTGATTTTGTCCTTGGAAACCAATTGCATTGGCAGATTCCCACCCACCATTCTCGATTAGTTGAGGGCACTTGTCGGATGGATGCCCTTGAATTGAGCACACGCCACAAACTTGGTGTTCTTGTGCTTTTAGACCAATCACAACCTGAGAAACAAGAGAAGTAAGATTAGCAAGTTGTGATTGAATTTCAGAAATAGCACTCACCTCATTTACACTTTGTTGCCGTGGGGCTTCCCTTTGGCCCACTCCTTCATATTGTTGAGCGTTGAGCGCTCGGTTGGCTATGAGAATCTTGGCATCCCTTGGTGTTTTGTCCACCAATGCTCCTCCCGCTGAGGCATCAAGCATTTGACGTTCGATAGGAAGGAGGCCCTCATAGAAATATTGAAGGAGAAGTTCCTCCTTCATTTGATGTTGAGGACATGAAGCTACAAGGCCCTTGAAGCGCTCATGATAAGCCGGGAATGTCTCACCATGATTCTGTTGAATACCACTAATTTTCTTCCGTAGGAGAATCACTCTCGAAGTAGGGAAGAATTTCTCCAAGAAAGCACGCTTCATACTCTCCCACGAAGTCACAGTTTCCGGGGCTAGTTCATAGAGCCAATCTTTGGCCTTGTCCATAAGTGAAAAGGGAAAGGCCTTCATCTTCAATATACTCCCATCCACAGTGACGGGGGTCATGCTCGAACAAACCACCTCGAACTCCTTCAAGTGTTTGTTGGGGTCTTCCATAGACAAGCCATGGAATTTTGGAATATGGTGTAACAAACTGGATTTGAGTTCAAACACCTCAGTCGTCCCCTCTGCAGCCGTGGGGTATTGGATACAAAGAGGCAATGCATTATCCAAACCCGAGGCCGAAAGCTCCTTGATGGTTCTATTATCTGCTGCCATGGCTTGTTCTTCTTCAAAAATCTGATCAGTGGGCTTTTCTTCTATACCTTCTTCGTCCTCTTTAAGCCCAGGTTGTGGTGGAGGTTGTGGTGGCTCTTGTTGACTCCTCGTTCTCCTCAAAGTGCGTTCAAAATCACCGTCAAAGTCGGAGATGTTCTCTATAATAGGCCGAGAGCTACGAGTCATACACAGTACCTGAAAAACAAGAAAACAAACAAACTAAGAATCTGAAATAAGAATGCACGAAAAACAAAAAAATAAATAAAATAAAAATAAAGACAAAGGATTAGCAAAGTTGCTAATCCCCGGCAACGGCGCCAAAATTTGATGCGAGAATTACTTGACACTCAAATTAAACCCTCGTTTGACAATTGTAGTAGAATGGATAAGTGAGGGATCGTTCTAGACCGGGGATTAGGAGGGCTTGCTAAAACCTTCTAAATTGACTTAAGAACGTAAAAACAATATAAAACACTAAACTAGACTCAAAGAATGCAAAACTAAAATTTAAAACATTAAGACAAACCAAAAGACTCAAAACTAATTTTGGACGAATTTAAGATTATGGCTTGATTCAAAATACTTTAAAACATAAACTAAACAGATTCTAAGCACTAAAGAACAAGAAAGTAAAAGGGGGGGGGGGGAAGTTTTGATTTGACGAAAATTGAAATAACAAAACAAGTTAATAAACTCAGCGGAATGTAAATATGAATTTGTGATGGAATGAATGGAATGAAGGCTAGCTAAGGGGTTCTTCTCCACACAAGTTATACTTGCATACAAGATTGATTCTCAGTTGGTCTTTCGATAAATTATGAAACTCAACACTCCGGATTAATTAGGTCCGCTTAAATTAACCGTCAAGTTTTCCTTAAGTTAATGAATTGGATGGGTTTGCGCAACGCAATTCACAACATTCTCCAAAAGTCCTTTACGTGAACAGCACAATAAAGATACAATCAAAGATCATTAAGTATTATGAAAACTATAAGTGTTGACGAGGCATTCGTTACTATGATGAGCATGAAACTCGTGCCAAGAATTCATTTAACGCGATTGTTTATAAGCAACCTCCACTACTTGTGAATATAAGTTCATAACGATTAGGTGAAAATCACTTATATTCTAGCGTCATATTTATGCATGAAAATTAAGCGCGCATTCTTAATAAACATTCATAAATAAGTTATCAATCAAACGGTTAAACAAATTGAATCCACAACTTATGAAATTCCAACGAAAGTTAATCAATTCATATTGCAAATATAAACATAGTTTCGAATCACCCCCTAGCTAAAGGGGGTTTAGTTCCTCATAACTTTGAAATCAAAGAAACACCTAAACATTCCAACAACTCAAAACTTGAATTGTATGAACGTTTAAGCACTCTTCTCTTCCATTCCTTATACGTACAAAACAAAGAGAATTAAAATGAAACTTTGAAATCAAAGAAACACCTAAACATTCCAACAACTCAAACTTGAATTGTATGAACGTTTAGGCACTCTTCTCTTCCTCGTTGTTGTAGCACAAGGTTTAAGGATAGGTTGTGTGATGGTATGAAGTGTTTTTGAGGGATGGGAAGTGGTTGGATAGTGGCTGCAATGGAGGAGAAAAACTGAACAGAAATGGAAGGGGAAGTGTTTGTGTATTGCAATGGAAAATGAGATCCTTGGTGAATGGAATGAATGGGTATTTATAGGAGGATTAGAGAAGTGAATGGATGTTTGTTTAAGGTATTTGTGGGAAGGAATAATGGGATGAAAGGTAATGGAATGAATGGCTTAGAATATTTTATTTTGGGTGCACGGTTTAGGATTAGAATATGGGAAAGAATGGAGTGAATGTTAGGTCTTTAGGTTATGGAATGAATATGGTGCAGCGGCTTTTGGAATGGTGGAGGTAATGCACGGGTTTTTGTATTGATTTTCTGGTTTATGGCTGAATAGAAAATATATTAGGGTGTTGAATGCACGAAAGGGATGAATAATGGGATGGTGGCTAATTAGGGTGATAATTCAATGGAAGGCCACGGATGGAATGAATATGGGATATATGGTGGCTGAAAAAAAAATGAATTAAAGTGCATCAATTTGAATTAGGGTGCGGCTTCAACTTATTGTAGAACTAGGGTTAATAGGGTTAGGGTTTAAATGCATAAAAGGGCCTAAAATGCCCCCCCTTGCATGGCAAGGGAAGGAACTTGGGCTAAAGCCCACGGCATTGGTTGGAATTTGGGCTAGGGCATTCGTTTTGTGTCCTAAAGCGCCTACAAGGACTTCAAAGTGGCTAGAAAATACGGACGTTTAAGATTAGGAAAGGTTACCAAAACGGGAAACTTAGGGTTAACTTTCCTAAAATAGGAAACCTTGTTTGAGTAGGATTCCTCGTTTTGGTAAGAATTCATCGTTGGAGTAGGAATTCGTTGTTTCTTCAAGTCTTCAACTCATTCATTCCTCTTTCGCTCCAAAAAGCTCCACTTTGCATCTTCTTGCACACTTTGGCCTTATAATCTGAAAATACACAAAAGTGGCCTTAAACACTGAAATAGATAAGTAAACACAACATAAATGCACGAGAACAAGCTAATTAAGTCGCATGAATATGCTCCTATCAGTAAGTCGCCTAAATATGCTCCTATCAAATTCCCCCACACTTAGCTTTTGCTAGTCCTCGAGCAAAACAAAACAAACGAAACCACAAACAACACAAAACACATTCCAAAACCTTCCAACATGTACCTCAGGGATTTCCATCGAACATGACACATTAAAGAACATCATTCCCACGGTTTTTTTAAGTTTTCTTTACACTTCAACAAACACTTAATCATAGTTACCACTTATTAGTTCACATATAATCAATTAAAACAATGTTTTGAATGTAGTAACATGCCTTAGAGAATTCCCTCAATTCCTCACTAGAATGCACTCTATTTTCACACAGATTTTCTAACTTCACACCCTACACTAGGTATATGTGAGAAGATTGATGTAAATACGAAGACTAAAACTCACATATGTTATATCAAAGAAAGCATTTTCTGGATTTGCGACAATGACATGAATATGATCTCAAGAATAGAATGCTACTACTTAGAATGAGAACCAGTAATTCCATATGCTCATACCAAATTAAAACTCCACATATTGAACACATAACATCAAGATAGAAGTTGAGGGTTGTAACGGGGCTAAGGGTAATGGTTAACAAAGAAAGGTAAAGGATAAACAAAGGTTCTTAAAGCAATAGGAAGCAAAGTAATGAAATTGACAATTAAACTCACTTTTAATGGCAGAAATCAACTTTTAAACACAAGGGAAGATTCATGCAACATTTTAGGGTCAAATTCACTCTTTTGGACCCTTCATTCAATAACCAACACTTGTGAGTTCTTTCTCACTTATTTTTCAACTCTTTTTCTTTCTTTTCACCACTTTTTTATTTTCTTTTTATTTTTTCACGAATTTTTTTTCTTTATTTCCTTCTTTTGCCGTGCCCTCTCATCTTCCCCCACACTCATTTTCTGCAATATATTGATCAAAGGAGTTCATTCTAAGTCGTGCTTCACTATCCTTTAAGAACAAAGGTATGGAAAGTCCTTATCTAGGCTAGGTAAGGATGGTGTGGCTAACAAAGAAAATAGGCTTGAAAGGCTCAAAAGGGGTAATCCTACAATACATATGAAAAGGGTTAGGCTTTTTGGCTTTGGCTTGACTAACAACTTCATCTTAATGTATGTTATGCAATCAATATCATGCTTTGAATGAAATGGGCATGAGTTCTAGTATTTGGAACTATAATGACATACATTCCAAGTAGCAACCAAGCAAAGAATGATGAGATCATGCAACGACTTTAGAAAACAAGAAATCACAGATTATACTCTCCAAAGAACGTTATAGGCTCAAGTCTCTCAAGGATGTAGCTTTAGTTTGAGTTCCTTCCTTCAAGCATGTTACAAAAACTGATTTTTTTTTTTTTGTAATTACATGTGAATTCATAAGCTATAACCATAACCAAGCATAAACCAAAGCATAAATCAACTTCCAGCCATGTTTACAACATTCTTTAATAGTCATGCAATTAAAAACCAAATCCTCATCATTGTGTTGGAAGGTAACCTAAGACACAAACACACAAAAACAACTCTTTTTGGGCTTTTCAAAACTGTTTTGTAATTGTTTTTTTTTTTGTAAATTTTCGGATTTTCTGAACAAAAGACACGAAAACACTTCAAAACACTCTAAAAACACTTAAAAACAGTGAGAAACAACATTATAAGTGATAGGTGATAAAATCCCACAAAAATCATGTAAAATCATGCAAAAACAACTTGTTTACCCCCCCCCCCCCCCAACACTTAAATCAAGCATTGTCCTCAATGTTTCAAACAAAGACTCACATTCAAACAAACAATATAAACTAACTAACATGATGAAATAAAAACAGTAAAGTGATAGGGATTTAGGAACGCAAATCTGATTTTGTGGCATGAATTGTTGAATTGCCCAAATCCTCTCTAGTTGAATGCATGGGTGGCCTCCCAAGAAGCGCTTGCTTTAACGTCGTGCAGCTGGACGAACATTCTTCTTATCCTCAATTAGAGCCCACGGCATGGAGGGTGATGTCCTCCACAACTTGCCCTTCAACATTTGCATAATAGGGCTTCAAACGATGCCCATTCACCTTGAATTCTTGGCCATTCCTCAAGCTTTGGATTTGAACTGCGCCATATGGAAAAACATTAGTAACAACAAAAGGTCCAATCCACTTAGAACGTAACTTTCCAGGAAATAAACGAAGGCGAGAATTAAAAAGTAAAACTTTTTGCCCTATGGAGAATGTTTTGCTTCGGATCATCTTGTCATGGAAAGCCT